TCTTTTTGTTCGTATGGCAACAATCAATGTCACTTTATATTGTGAACGGAACTGGAAGTGGATATACGGACATAAAAACAAACTCGAAAATGAAACTAATAATGTGTTTAATTCTTCAACTTAACAATAAATAAGTAAAAGCATTATTGTCGACCATGGTGTGTCATCAAATACCCTACATCAGTTATTATTTCTTTTTCATATAAAGATTTTCCATAATAATGCGATATATGGATGAAGCGGTTGATAAATGTGGTGCGTTTTGAAGCATTTGGAAGAACGTTCGTCCTCGGGTCCAAGCAAGTCGAGTTGTACCAAATTTCATCAAAATATCTCAAAATTTGGGTCTTCTAGACTAAACATCAAAATGCAAGGACAGCAATCGAACGGAAGGACGGACAGACAATATAAGCAAATGATTCTGAATCGATCGCTATAGTTGAAAATGGGTCTGTTTAAGGTGTTTCTAGATACTTTGGACATCCGTATAAGCTTAACATGCCACGTACCACATGTTGTGTTGGGTATAAAAATGTAATAAGCGATACGTTCAAATAAATAAAGATTTAATTAATACAAAATAACAGGAAATTGTTCTTCTCGGAGCGGTTGGCATAATGACATTAAAATGCTTCTTTTCCCCCCTTATAAACAATCATGTTTAGCAAAGTAGTAACTCTTTCGAATAAGCTAACCTTATAAGATGGCAATCGTGACATAAATTTGAGTAGAACATTATCATAAGTTTAGCCAGAAGATAAATTCTAAGACTAAGACCTCGAAGCACTAGTATCAAGTATAGACTATCGGTTTTAATGAATGAAAACTCAACCGCACTTAAGATTTAAATCCACGACCATTGAGTTGTTAGTCGAGACTGTACCTACGCGAGTAGTTAGCCGGGTATTAAAATGAAAAAAGTACGCAAGCTACGCGATGGTGATTAAAAATATAACACCGTTCAGTGGATGGAAAAATTTCAAACTGATTTCATAACAATCAGGAAACTCCGCTTTATCTTCCAACAAAATTTTTGATCTCAATTATGAAAGCATAGGAACCTTCCACGACTGAATCAGTTTTATTAAATTTCTTCGTTTTGTATTTCAATGAATTTTATGAATATTTTCTCATATGCAAATAGTTCATCACCAAGTTTCTATTAATTATTTATATTCACCACCGAATGATATGAGTATAGTCACATTGTCAAAATGCTTGTAACCCCTACAGGCAAGCTTTAGAGACTTTATCAACTTTACATTCTTTTGATCAGAATCAAATCGATCTGAATCGATTTGTCCAAAATAGATTAAATCGATCGAAGGGCACGCCCTCCGAAGAAGACACTACTTTTTATTACAAACTACAACAGAAGAAAAGACAAAATGATTACGTATACGTACTGTGATCAGCCCTATGGTGCCAGCATAAGGACGGAATAAAACGAGTACGCCTACCTAATGCTGCACTGTGACGAAATTTCCTTTTCTTTGGTTTCTTTTTTTTTTAATATGCAAGTAACGGGCAAAAAAGATTCGGTCACAGCCGAATACAATCCTCTTATTTAAGGTATTTCATAGAGTCTTGTTCATTATTATTGTAAATTTGAAATGAAACTAAACTGATGCTCCATGCCGCTCGCTTACATTGTTTTAATGAAATGAATGAACAGAATGGAATTGACAGGGTGTGGTATATTATATTGTCATTAATTGTCTGCCTTACTTTTCTTCCTGATGAGATAGCTATTATACTCTACACCACATGCAATAAGTGATTATTATTGTTATTTTCATAAATCCATCTATCACTACGCAAACCGGTTCAGAATCACTTTCTGAGTCGATCTAAACTTACCTGTCCGTCTGTCAATGTACTTCTAGATTCAATATATAGATTGGAGATTCCGAAAGATGCAGGGAAGAGACAAAATGGTACAAACACTATACAATATAGCACCATCTTGTTGTTGTTTGGCTCGACTGACAACAGTGCGTGCGTGTAAATACTGCAACGCGTTTGTATTGCACAGTTTAAATGCCAAGTCTTTCAGGTTATATTTCCCTGTATTACGTGCTGTTCCCTGTATCCGCGACAGTTAAAACAAGTGTCCCGTTAAATGTGTGAAAGCGGGAAGATCGTTAACGATTGATAAGCGACAGCGTCTGCGATGAAAACGCCTGAACTGTTTAATATTTCATGAGCAGCCGTAGCCACGGTAATGACAGCATACGCAACATATGATAAAATATCATTAGACAAACTCAATGTTAACTGACAGAAATCGTAGAACAAAAAGTTGCAGTGGCAGTAAGAGACAGCAAACCGCAATGCTCACTTGGGTAATACCGCTGCGGTAAAAATGGTGCCACGATCGTAAAACCTTTACGATCACTTTATTATTAAAAGAATGTGGTATCAACCGATGGTCCATGACCCCAAAACAAGCCTACCATCCAGTCTGCCTGCTTACTACCGCCAAGCACGGGGATGATTTCGTTATGATATTGGCGCCTACATTATGGCATGCAGCTGCTCTTCTCGTTCACATCCCAGGCCAGACTTTATTGCGAATGAATATCTCGACATCTTCAATAAAGTTCTTACTATGTATAGATATTGACGTCAAAAGTTTCAGTCTGGATTTGAAGAGCACGAAAATACCACCAAACATCTTCCTTGGAGAACATAATCTCCGGACTTCACCATAGTTGAACCATTATAGGGAGTTTCAAAGCAGATAGTGCTGAGCAGACTTCCGTCTTAAATCAGCGAATGTGTTAGTGCAATAGTGGAAGAACATTGCGATAACATCTATTCATACACTTCATGAATATATTCCGCAAAGAATTGTGGGGGGGCCCAACAACGTTATTAAGAAATAAATATTCTACATACGCCCGGTGTTCATAATCCTTTGTCCATTTCCTATGTTTAATAAGATTGGTAGATGGGTATCTTTTGTCTCAAGGACGAACGCTATGCAGCACGATATAAAAAATGTCCAATTTTTGCAATTGATGCAAGAAAATAATATTTTCATGTATAAAAAGAACGCGCCGAAAATTGTCACTCCCCTAGAATCATTCTTACAAAAAATAGACTGCGTAGATGTAGAATGCTTAATAGTTGGCTTTGCCCGGTTATAACCTTTTAATATTAAACATTTTAATATAGAAAAACACAGACGAGTTGGAATTCTTCCAAAGTATCAGTTCTTTAATTTCCTAAAATGATTCTCGATATCGCAATCTACACATCCTTTTTAGGTATTGTTCTGTATATAATGAATAACTGCGGCATTACTCGCTTTGAAGAGCAATACCACTCCTCGGGTTAAAAATTTTTATCAGTTCAGAATAAGTGGAGACGCGTACAATGGCATGGATAATTGCTTTCCTTGCCAAAGCATTAAGCAATGATTGCCTGCATCAAATGAAGCCTTGCTGCGAACTGCGAACAGTCCTATCTCATAGCTGCTGATTTTGAGATGCTCTTAATGTAGGAACAAAAGTATTTACAAAATATTTCTGTTCATTCAAAAGCGTTTTCAAGCAAAAACAGTTTAGCCGCCACAAGGCAACCGTTTAATAGATATAAAGCTAAGCACAATGCTAAGGTTAAAAGAGGCTAAGATTAGAGCTTTGCTATGAAATTTGCGATGCTAATTAAGCATTTAGGTGCCGTTTTCTCCATCATTTAATGGTACGTAAAACGCACGATTTTGTCTTGCAAAAAAAGAAACAGTGAAAAAATGAAAACAATTGTGTAAAAAAAAATTTATCGGAAAAAAAAAACGTTTATGCCAAATGTCAAAAATGTTAAGTACACTACTCTTGAGCACAGCCACCCAGCTCAGCTCAACTATCATAAAAATAACTTTCTCTAGATTTTTTCGATAAATTAATTTAAATATTTTTTTTATTAAAAAAAAAAAAGCCTTTTATTTCAAAAATTGAACTTTGTTTCATTCACACATCCGCTAGTCAATAAAAAAAAACCGATACTTCTAAAAAATCCTACACGTTTCACTAGACACAAGCACGCAGAATAATTTAACATCAATTACACTGCGCGTCATAGACCTTTCACAATTATACATGCCTCGCAACAAAGGCTACGGCGTTGCCAATTTTTAATATTTTTTAAAAATAATTTTCAAATATACGCCTAATAGTCACACAAAATATCATTATTCTTGTAGCATTTCTTTTCATGTTCAAAAAACCTATTGTTTTCTATGCTGTTGCTACGTCGTTATCCATTCCTTAAGCATTACCTCTTAGGAGAAAGTTAATATTACTACCCATTGGCACTAAATATACCTTGTGCCAGTGTACGCTCGACGGAGGCCACGCTTCTCCGCAAGAAAATTTATTTCTCTCGGCACGTTTCGTTCGATGAACTTTCCTTACTTACTTTCTCGGTAATCAAAATACAGTTCCCCACGATTTAATTTAAAGTAAAAAAGACTCAGAGGTTGTTTAATTAATTTCTACTAAAAAGTAGCCCTCGAGAAAGTAATCTTACATTCACTATAATTGAAAATTTAAATCCTTAATTGAACACCGACGACTTACTCTGTTGGCTTCCCGGAGTAGAAGAGAAAAACCAAATCGGAAATTGGCGTTCCCACCAATCGGACGACGGTGGAAGTCAATTGATTCGTACTTCCTATAAGGTTTTGCGATGAGGTTTGCCCTAACCCGTCGCTTGTCATGTCAATTTATTATATGTCAGACAAGCGAGTATAGTAAGACGTTTACTGTTTTCACTGAGATTATTAGTGTGCGTGTTTTCAACCTCACATTGCAAGATCGAATATGAATTGAATGTGCAAAAGGGTTGATCTTTTCGAAAGTGCAAAAATGTAAAATCGATTCTCAAACTTGTTAGGTATGTTTTAATCCCCATATTAAAATGAGGAGATTATAGTGTTCATCTCTAAATTGTTCTTTAATTTGTTGTCTTACTTTTGCCTTTTGTTTTCATTGCAGAATTCAGCAGAGCCGGTATTTTCGCCTACCATGGCTGGCGGTTTATTTTCGATAGATCGAAAATTCTTCGAAAAATTAGGCACTTACGATTCGGGCTTCGATATCTGGGGTGGGGAGAATTTAGAATTATCATTCAAGACTTGGATGTGCGGCGGCACTTTGGAAATTGTACCATGTTCCCATGTGGGTCATATCTTTCGTAAACGATCTCCTTACAAGGTAAGTGAACAAGTTTTTTGTACCTCATAATTAAACATTTAAATTTACTCATTAAGAGCGATTGGTAAGCAAACGATTTTACTGTGACATCTTTCTTTTAGAAGCATTGTCCTAATTACTCGAAAATCCAGTCATTTAGAAAACACATGTGTGTTTGTCTCTCCCTCTCTCTTCATATCCAAATAGTATAATGGGCGCTTGTATTCAACATGTCATGTTGTGGTTCACATCATTACATAGTTATAGTGCTTGGGCTCTATGTTGTGTATGAAGGTAATGATTAATGTTGTACACAGAGAGAGAGAAAAAAAAAAAAAGTGCAAAGAATTCAAAACAGCCATCTATACACAAGAGAGACCACAGCAGCGAACCACTAAAAATGTGATGGAATAGAATGCACAAACATGCCTGATTAAAATGAATACAACTACCATGTCCATGACTAAATATATGCAAACATACGGCAAGAGGCAAACGTATGCTTTAATTCAATTGGGACTTAAAGCACAGAAAGAATTTAATTTCAAAATGCTTGCATGAAATTTCGAAAGCAACCTTTAAGAAAAACGAAAGCCTCCTTTCTCCCCTAGCAATTAATGAGAGTACAAATTAGATTCGTACCTTTTCTAAAAGAAAGTGTAAGTAATGCTGTCAGCTGCCGAATAAAATTAGGACTTCTTCTTATTACTACACTTAATACATAAATTATCGTACTACGGCATACATTAGATAATTTGTTGGAGCTTTGTATAGGTACAGATCTGTTTTTGCGGGAAACTTTACTTTTTCTACTTAGTTCAAAAGATCACGATGTCGAATAGGCGAAGCATTAACATCGACTGAATGAATGTCCACGAGGAGAACTCAGCTGGGGATGGTTTATTAAGATTCGATCCAAACGGAGTAAAACTGTCACTGATGAGAACCGACCACAATAGTTGATGCAATTGCGATGAAAACTGTTCGTGAGATGACAAAAGTCATGACATCGTAAGTTTTCAGTGTGAAGAAATTCAACGAAACACCCTCAGGAAATGTTTTCAATTCTAATCTACAAAGCCCTATCCCCTCGCTATTATCAGGAGGTATTATTGACTAGGATTAACACTGATTTTAACGGTGCCTTGACTCTGATGACGATTTCCAAATATGAGATATTCTGGGAATAGCCTCGAAAGACGAGACATTTCTTTGAACTGAAATTCAACAATTGCCTTAGTGATGAGAAAAGATAGTAGCTACCGACGGGCGGTACTTCGATTAATGCGTTCCTTTGGTTTGCTTTGAAGTAAATGCACTTTTGATCAGAAAAAAACGAACCAAAACAATTTAGACTAGCGACAGCAAACATAATAGGAATCCTTTAGTTTATTTACGCTTATTGAAGGCACGCAGTGAGCAGTGAGTACTCACTTGGAATTCACTTGCATCTAAAATCTGAAAACTGAATATGGTGGATCTCTAAGGTTTTCAGAGACGAACGAGAAAACTTTTTCAGTTTCAAAACTTGAAAACAAACGTCAACAGATTTTAATTAAAGGACCCATGTAATGTTCGTCAAATCACTGCTATAGCAGATAAGTTGTAATGAGCTTAATTAAATTTCCCATACGTCCGTTATTGGTTGAGTAATGAGATAAGAAGCTTAGCAATGAAGTTATGAACTTTTCATAAGTTCATAAGTTCAATCCCTCCTATTGCAGTGCATGTATTACAATACATGTGCGCATATATTGATACGTTTCTGCGCAAATTTTGCTTTTTTCACTTTAATTTATTTTCGCTTAGCGCTTTTGTTTGGAAATTCTTTTCGCTGTATGATCTAGAACCAGTGAAGGCATGTAAGCTATTATATCAACAAAAAAAAAAAAAAATCTCGAAAAAATTTCAGCAAGCTCCGCTACTTCATTCCACCTCGCTTACGGCTGAAGTACCGCAGGAGAACACGACAAAAATGCGTTCACCCCAAACAAGGTAGATATGTTATAGCGCGTGTGCATTATTTAGAAAAAACTTATCAGCATAAATGGTCGCGAGGGGCACAAAATTCTGTCTGTCAATCTGTCATCTGTCTGCAAATGATGTTGCCTATCAGAGTTAGAAGAGTGAATACAAAAAATTGGAATTACATTAATCCGGTCGTTTACATCTCGGTCGGCACATTATTGCACCTCTGGGTGGGAATGGGACAAAATGAAAGCAAAAATCTATTCGTCCAACTTTCTATCACTCCTTGCGTCTCTCAGAATAGAAAAAATGAAAACGGAACCCTGTAACCCTGTATGTACGTCTATCCATCCCTCTATTTGTACTTCTCAAGAAAGAGGAAAAATGAACACTGAACGTTCCAGTTGCACTCACATGGTTTTTTGTGTTAGATGCTTAAAATTAAAACTGGAAGATACTCCGACATAAATATGCTTGCAAGCTTATCGTTTTGAAAGAACAACTTGCAACGAGAGTCGATCTAAAATTTGGTTGATTGACGCGCATAAAATTTGTTTATGAGTGTCCTAAGTGCGTTCTTAAGCGCATATACTTTTCTGACATAATTTTTGCTGTGTTTTGATGGTGATGCGTGCACGCACAAATTATGCTTCATGGTTATGTGTTAGTGTGACATGACGTGGCTCAGTTTAGTTTCGGACTTTGTTGCTTTTTGCATAATTTGTATGAAAAGTTGTTCGTTGCTTATATGAAACCTAATTAAGGAACTATGTATATGTAAAACGAATAACCTAAGTGAAAATTATTCTCCTTCTCCTAGTGGATAAATGCTGCTCTAAGGCAATTCTATTATCCTCTCTGTTACTATCGCTGTTATTAATTCGCTCTTAAGTTTTCTTACACACATACTTATATCTTTAATTATTTTCTCCTATAATATACACGTGAATGCATGTATATGTGCATATATATATATATTTTTTTTTCTTTGTTTTTTTTTTTTTTTTGTGCAGTGGCGTTCAGGCGTAAACGTGTTAAAAAAGAACTCGGTACGCTTGGCTGAAGTGTGGTTAGATGATTATGCCAAGTATTATTATGAACGCATTGGCAACGACAAGGGCGAGTACGGTGATGTTAGCGCTCGTAAGGAATTGCGGTAAGTTGTCATTAAATCATAGCGATTAAGGCAAAAATAAATTCTTATATATATATATATGTATGTGTTATATATGTAGGTTACATATTCCTTTATACATCCATGTCGTATGTAGTAATAAACATATTAAGCCTTTAGGATTTCCAAATTCATATAATTATTTCATTCAAACGTTCAAAACATACTCTTACTCAGCACTTAAAATCAATAACCAATAATCAATTTCTTGTAATGGACTTAATATATTTTATTTTTTTTTCTTACGTTTTTATTTTGCATATAATTGTTTAATTGAGAAAGAGGTATCATTATAGTGATTGTAACAGAATAGACCAAGCAGAAGAAGAATTTATACAATAACTTTATATGTAAAGGAAATAAATTACATAACAGCGGGACAAGGTTGGCCATTAAATACCGTACACCAATTATCAAAAATTATACCTTGGTTCCTAGTAAACACGTAGTTGGCATGGGAGCACCATGGGAGGCCAGAAAACGTAAATTTAGCCTTTGTTGCCTTAGAATGATCTACTCTTTCATGGTACTTCTTACATGGATCAAGTCAAAGAATAGACGTACAAACCTACAATTTCGTTACTTTACTGATGAATAAAGTCGAATTTCTAAAAGAACAGTTTTTGTCCCTAGTTAAACCGGAGACTTATTGAGTGATGTGATAAAAGCCAATCATCTTTATAAACCGTAGTCTTCGATATCTTAGACGTTCTTAGATTAATTCTACCGATGAAACATTTACAACATAACGATATTTGTGACCCTAAGATGAGATAAAGATCTGAATAGTTCGATATGTTAAATAGAATCGATAGCAATTCATGGCGTAACTATTTGAACTATATAAACTTTGTATTACAATGTGTGGCTCTAGCATTAGAGGACAGATAGACAGACATATGAATATTAAGAATGATCAAGAAAATATATATTGCTTAAGAGGTCTTCAATGAGTATTTCTCTGCGTTACCAATGTTAGAATAAATATAATAGACAATCATCCCTCGACAATGGCTATAAAACAACTTTCTCACTCAATTGATTACCAAATTTTTAATCAATTGGTGTCGTCAACTTGCTCTAGTTCCTATTTCTACTACTTGTCTAGTTTGTTCTTTTTTCTGTTTTTTGTAATTATCTTGCATATCTTTTATTTTCCAGCCAACGTCTGAATTGTAAAAGCTTTAAATGGTATTTGGATAATATTTATCCAGAACTTTTTATACCAAGCGAATCGGTAGCGTATGGTGAGGTAAGTTAATTCTTGTTAACCAATACAAAATTTAAGGAAGATTAACGTGAGAGCCAATGAAAGGCATTTTTTAATATGCATCACAATGAGTCCAACAACAAATCCTGAGCTAACTGATTACTAACATCATATGTAAAAAAAAAAACAAAAACAACAACAAAAACAACAAAATTTTCCCTTCTTTTATATATATTTAGATAAGAAACCTAGGCGCTGGCGGTCGCACTTGTTTGGATTCCCCGTCACGTAGAAAGGATTTGAAAAAGCCCGTTGGCTTATATCCTTGTCATAAACAAGGTGGCAATCAGGTTGGTTGATTGCATTGCATGCGAAATGCGACCGCCACAAGCTCCGTTTTTTTTTTGATAAAGAAAGAAAAAAATTTAATAAAAAAAATAAAAATAAATAAAAAGAATGGTTAAAATGGTTAAAGGTAGCTTTCTGGTTATCCCCACTGTTTCGTTGTGCTCGTCTACTCTGTAATAGCATGCGTTACCCATATCTCTCTAATTCCAAAATCGCGATCTAAAACCTCTATATTACTTCTATTGTTTGGAGAAATGTCAGGCTCTTTGTAAACATACGAACACACAATTTCAGATTGCCAATATAGAAACAGATATGTGTCTTGATTCCGCCGCCAAACCGGACGATTTGCAAGGGGCCGTTGATCCTTATAAGTGTCACGGTCAAGGTGGAAACCAGGTATTTTTTTTCTATGATTTATTCTTTTAAATTTTTTAACATATAAAAAATAAAAAAAAAAAAAACTAACTGGATTTAGCAGGCTTGGGCTATAAAAGGCTTTCATTTCAGTCTCTCACCGCAATGACACTAATAATCCACTGGCATTCGGGAAATTTACACTAAACACTTACCCACTCACCCGCTTAAACTAAGTTAATTTGATTTATACTTTGAAAATTACATATAAAACATATTTTATGGCATTTTCCCATCATTTACTCAAAAATGATCAAGTTGAACAGAATCACAAACCATATTTCAATTTCAATATTTTTATCTCTGATGAAATACTATTCAATCATTTTGTCAAGTAAGTAACGGGAATCTATATTACTCGATGTCAAATTAATTTACTGAGAAAACTGCTAATTAGTTGTCAAGTATATTTTAAAAGGAGTCATTCGAATTAATTTGCCTGTGAAAATTAATCCACTCTCTAAAATATTTACTGTGCTTGAAGTTCGTGGTTTACTCTATGAGTAAATAAGAAAGTTGCCATAAGCTATATCACATTGTAATGGTGTTTTGCTCGCAGAAAAAGCCGATAATAGCATGATCCATTTATCCAAAAAAAAAGAAGACCGACATGCAAATACCCTACACCACTTCGTCTAAGGTAAACGTTTACATGTCTGTATCGTGATGTGTCAAAAATTTTAGTTTGTCGTAATATGCAGGTCATACTTGTCATAAAAATCATTGCACAGGCATGAAACCGTAAAGCATATCCACATAGTCAACGCCCCACAGTAAAATTAAATGTTAGTTCGGTATTTTACAGTCATTTTTAGTATGAAATTTTAAAAATTAAATCTTCGCTGCATATAAAGGCTTATTTTTTATACTTTACAAACCTCGCGTTGTCGTTTAGGACATAAGGACATTATTTTTTGGCAAAAAAAATTAGAAACTCTTTTTGCATAACAACATTTTCAAAATATACCTTCAGTAGGAGAGTAGTCGTAAAACTGGTTTCCAAAAGTTTTTGGCCTCAGGCAAAACACGTGAGTGTACCAACTATTTCAAAAATTGCCAGCAAGTCCAGGAACAGACAACACACAAATGGTTACACAGGATGAACAGACAAACAGTCGAGACAAAGCGTTCACCCTGGGGTATATTCAAAAAGTGCTAGTAAGTGCAGGGAAAGACAACGGACAAATTGTCACAAAAGATGAACAGATTCGAGGCGATACGTTTAAATCGGCTCAGAAAATGATTCTCAATCAATTGGTATACCATATTCTGGATGCTACATGTGTGCGCGCGAACTTAATATACCGCAAAGCTCAGGATATGCCAAGTGACGTAAGATGTAATAAATATATTCACGCCTATCTTTCAGATAATCGATTTGACCCACGACAAAAAGGAAAATCGGTACAAAATCGTTCAAGAAGAAAACCATTGACATTTATGCTGACAAGAGACAGTTGAACTTACAAAGTTACTTACAACTAACTTTTCGATAGAAATGTTGCACTTCAGATGCGTTCAATCGAAAGAGAGCCTAGTAGAGAGAGTAGTTTTTGGAAACTGCCACTTCGCAGAAGGCATTCTGATGTTATTAACATTTTAAAGGAAAGCTCGAAAAAAATGATTCCAAGACGACTTTCAACAACTTAGGACAACTTCACAAGCGCCTTTTACAAAAATGTTTTTTTTTTTTTTTTTATACTGTATCTCCTTAAAAAAGAAGCATACTTTGGCAAACTCGGCGACTTTTTTGACGATATAATAAAATATTTTCATTGTGCTTATGTAGGCTTATTTGACTGTGAATGTTATGCATGAAGTATTAAAGGCAAATCCCGATACTTTATTGACATGATGTAAACAAAATATTTTCAAAGAACGACGGATATCATGTTTTTTTTTTTTTCTTTTTTTTATATTAATTTTATCTTCATTGCACTTTGGTTGTTTATAAGTGTATATGTTTCTCTTTTGTGCGCGCTTCACAATTGCTTTTAAGAGGAAATTCGCTGGAAAAACGAATGGAAATTAAATATTCAGTTTGATTGATTTATAAGCAATTCATTCATATGCAAAAATCAGTAAGTTTGCAAAACAACAACATCGGCAGTTAACAAAATAATAAAATTGACTTCTGATAGCAACACAGTAATATTTATTGTGCTGTTTGCCGATAAATTCATGGCTAGGATATGTCGTCAAATCATTGAATAAATGCAAGGAATTATTCAAAAAAAAAAAAAAAAAAATCAATATTCCTTTCCTTTTTGTTTTTTAGTCTAAATAATGATTTGTTAAGACCTGTATATTGCCGGTAATAGCGTGCAGACAATATGTTAAAATAATTTGAAACACTTTGCTAAAAATGCCTGGATATGTTATGTAAGAAACCAACAAACAAAACAAAATATCGCGACATCATTGCTGTTAGTAATTTTCATGTTACTCGTGCTAGCATTAAGTTTTTTTAAAAGATTCGAACGTAGTTGACAGTCAAGAGAGAAGAGAATTGATTGGCACTTCGTGTGCTTGAATTCTCAGATAAGTCAGTTTTTGCCACCGTAGTGAAGAAGATCGCATCAGACTAATGGGAAAAGATGTTCTATCTTTCTTGTATCCCTAAGTGCATTTGATAACAAATTAGTTCTGACCACTCAAAGTTACTGTCACCATATGCTTGGAAGCGTCTCAAGCGTAAAGCCTCTGCGTTACATTTAACTCATCGTGAATGATTGAATAAACCCTTCAGTTTTGCTTATTTTCGATATTTTGTTCGTAGCCAAGTTCAAACCTTAAGATCTGGGTATATATTGTGAGCTTGGTATGCCACGTTTACATTTCGGAGGCAATTTCATGCAATTAGCTGCTGCTGCGGATTTGTTTTTTTGGATCAGTTAACTGGAATGTAATGTTGTGTCTTTCCATTGCCAATGCACGTTTTTTTTTTAAATCCTACGCAATCCCTTAGCGGAAAATGCGTTGTAAAGTAAACAATACTTATTTGAAATACCACGTTCTAGTCCCGCTCTTAGACGACCAATTGCTGTACATATCCGACGAAACTCAGCCGTTCATCAATATGTTTTGTTGCAAAGTTTAGTTTCATCCTTTACCCACAAATCTATTCTTATATAAAGGAAGACAACAACGGAACTTTTATTTCTTTCTTCTTCGTGTCCTTTTTATTCAACAATACTGGATATCATTGGTTTTCATTTGGCATTTGATATATAATGTAATCATTCAATCACTTAGAACGCACTTTGTATAGAGCTTGATTAGAAATTATCCAAACAAACCGGTTTTACTTCTACGGATGACTTAATCTTTTCAAAAACTATATTAGGTGCTTGCAAGTATTTTGATCATTTTTTCACTTGAAAAATGTGGTGATTGAGAAAAATTTGTGCAATATATATTAGTCAATATATTTTCGATCATTTTCTACACAATGACGTTGTCGAAAGAACGACATTAGTCTGGTAGTGATTCAATCATCGTCCCATTTTCGCTCTTCTTCAGCATTTCGAAGACATGGTGCTCCGATCTGAACAAGTGGTAATCAGAAGGCACTCTGTCTGGGGAGTACGTTGGATGTGGCAGAACTTCACCTTCGAGCTCCAACTGCTTATCCTTGACGACTCTTGCAACATGCGGCCGAGCGTTACCATGCAAGAGGGTGATTTTGCGTCTGTTAACTGTTCATTATCGCTGCAGTTCTTTGCAACAATACATGGTTCAATTCGTTCAATTGACGTCGGTAGAGATCTGCGCAACAGTTTCATTCGGTTTTAGAAGCTCCTAATCCCCTACACCTTACTGATCCCACCCCATACGCACAGCAAAAGTTTATGATCATGACAATTCCGCTTCGGTATCGGTATGGATGGATACCCTGATCTAACCCACGACTCTTTGCGCTCGGAATAGTCGTAATAGATCCACGTTTCACCACCAGTTACAGTGCGCCACCGAGAAATCTTCTTTTTTTGTCTGGCAAGTGAACGACATCGCGCTGTCAAACGGTTCAAAATCCCATTTTCGGTCAATTCGTATGCAAGTCTATCCCTTGGATCTCCTTCGGATCTTTCTCACTGCGTATAACCATCTAAAAATAGTTTGATGGGCTTCGACATCAAATTTCTTCAAGTCAAACACCATAAGTAATGAATACATGAATGTTGTGGGAGCTATACGAAGGTGAGGGTGCTTTGAAAATGTTTGAAAGCGTTTATCTGTCAGTTCCACACTCTCTCTAAGACAACAATAAAAATTGCCAACTGAGTAAAGTGGAAATTAATTAGCACTTTCGTGACAAGACCTCTTGCTCACGAAACCTTAAAAAAAGAGCAACTGCTGTCAGCATTAATAACAAAACACCTAACGAACAGAGAGCTTGAACATCGATTATAATTCACGACCCTAGGATGGAATCTATAAGCTTATCTTCCTTTCTCATTACACATTTGATTTTCTAAAAAAACAAAAAAAACAACAAAAAAAAATTTGAATAGATTCACTGATCTCTTGGTATTAATAACTTGAGTTTATTTTATTATATAATTTGCTCCATTAAAATTGAACATTTATTCTTGCTTTCTCGCATTAAAACAACAACAACCATGTAACGGAGTTTGTGGCTAATCTTTAGATAGTTGCTAAATATTATTATTATTTTTATTCTTACCATAATTATTATTATTATTATTATTATTATTATTATTATTATTATTATTATTATAATTTTTATACCCGCTGGCGAATGACACGAATTCATTGATTTTCCCATAAACAGCAAAGACTCTTAAACTTGTTGATTGTCTTAACCCGTTCACATAAATGACGTCGATGATAAAGATGTCCATCGCGTGTGCTTGTAGTTGTACAGGACGTTTGTACGACAGTTTTACAATTAGTATAATAAAAATAAAAAAGAGCAGCCACTGATTTTAAAATGGTCGTATGCACGACATTAAAGACCTAGGTTAGAAAATAACATAAACAGGGAAAAATTATTTTTTTTTTCATTAGAAGTATGTCTGAAGGTCAAGTGTAATAAGTGTAATAGCATTTTGTTTATAGATCAATGTGACAAACTCACGTGTCTGCTCAAAATAATTCGAAAAAGGCTTTCATGGCTTCACGCGACATACTCAAAACGATGGTGAACAAACCAAGTGCTAGCAGATTTAATGTAATCAATAAGAGTTCCTTGAAGGAAGGCTGGCTATCCCGATATTTTTCGCGTTCTTTCGCTCAGAAATACCTTCACATGATTACATCGTTCTGCATAGTGCTGTTGGCGAAAACCAACGGTACTATAAAACAAGTTTATTGCAGGTAGTCCCATAAGTCAAGGTTGAAGTACTTTGAGAGAAACAACTTCAAGCAAAGTGAAACGTCTACCGTGGAGTTTAATGTTTAAGTGACCGTGAAATAAATTCCACAATTAACTCAGAAACCGAAATGGCTCGGCTTAATTTTAATCTCACACAAACATAAAACACTTGAGGCAATTGTGATATTCCAGTACAGTCAAAGCGTGTGCGCCCGGGTATAAAAATTTTGAAAATAAATTTTTTTTTAAATAGAACTCATTGGAGAGTACATTGTAAAAAGATAAAGCATACCTCTGTCAAAAAAAGTAAAATAAAGCATTAGTTTAAGCTTTAACTGCAATTTGGCTTTTAAAAATTCACTTACGACATTCAATTTATCGAAACTAATTTAAATATTTTTCCTTCTTACAACTACTTACACTACCTTTCGTTAGTATTGGATGTTAAGTAAAACGGGTGAAATACGCAGAGACGAAGCTTGCCTCGATTATGCCGGTCATGATGTTATTCTGTATCCTTGTCATGGTTCTAAAGGAAATCAGGTAAGACATAGTTTGATTTATAAAAAAAAAAAAAAAAAAAAAAAATATTTTTATAACAAATTCTTCGCTTATCTGTAAAGTTAAACCGAACTTTCAATCGGTTTTCTTTACGAATTGAAAGAAAATTTATTTAAGTAATAAGAGACCAAAAAAATCTTTTCCTTCCTAAGATTACGAATAAATATTTCACTACTTGTTTAGTTTAATTCCCAACACCAGGCGATACTGAATTTGCAAAATACTTGGTAGGCTGACGAACGGCTATAGCTAAACCTTTTTTGCTGTGTCTTCTCCTTCCTTCAGTTCATTCGCCTGCTGAATTCGTGCTGACAATCATTGTACTTGATTCAAAAGAAAACCAATCGTGATCCTGAATTTTGGCCGTCCCTTCTTTCAAATTAACTTGATAACCTATGGAGCGGCCTGCAGCAATAGCCTAAAAGTCCAAAGTTTTTACTTTAGAATTTCAAGTCGAATCTTAAATTTTTACCTAATAAAATCTTTACGTCAAGTTCGAAGATCAGCTAACCGTTCATCCATAACTGCCGACAATCAAACTGCTACGTACGAGGTAATATACAGTGTCCCGGTGTTCGTTGTTTTTTCTTCTTAGGAGTTTCGAGCCAAACAGAATTCAATTCTTCTCTTGTTTAGTTTCACCACCGGTGTTCTTGCTACCTAAGTAAACTTCGAAATGAAACTAATATTGTGTACTTCCGATTTGTGTTAAGATCTGAGCGATATTCCATGATTACAGATTGCCATTTACAAGAGTATGTTCTAAAAGTATCAGGCCTGGAACGCATAATCATTTCATAGATAGGGTAGAGTTTCTTAAATGACTGCCCTTAAGTTGTGATGGCTTTTCAGCCCTTGACTAATTCAGCGGAGATTCTGAATTATCAACAGTACAGCGTGACTTTATCTGTATAACTTCTATATGTACCTTATGTAGATAGTCGATAGTTTATTACGATGCGAAAGAGCAAATGAAAAAACCTTTGCATTGTGAAAGGCACAGCGTTAGTAGAAAACTCATTTTCCTTTTCTTTTGTTTCCTTTAATTAACCATTGAGAGAATGTCACCTATATTTAGGCTACAAGACCTAGAGGCGTCACTTTAGGTATTTTATCCTAAAGGCAAATAATGCGTTTAAAGAAGCAGTCTTCACGGGAATGCGTCCGACCGACTAAAGGACAAATAGAAGAGAAAACCGAGTAGACCTGTTAAAGGATTCGATTTTTCTATATGTAAGCACTAGTCTTATAGTCTTATGTTGATGCTCGAGTGTGCTGAAAATACTCAACATACTCTCGTATGGTTTAGGGATTCGTTTGTTAATGCAATTGGAACTGAGAGCCTATGGGAACTATATAAACTCATTGCATAGTTTTATGTTGAATACTAAGTGCAGCTATGTATTAAAGCATTCGCGACATTCTTATATAAATTTATAAGGGAATTACTTAAAAAAAAAAAAAACGATTTTAACGGATTCCTTTTCGTCGGAAATAAGAGGGATTTTCCTTGTTATTGATTGATATTTGAACTTGGTGTAATCTATGCTTTATCTTCGGTACTATAAATGCAAATAACTAAGACTTAATTAATCATCGATTTACTGATTTAAACCCCAACTACACTATTCACCCAAAGAACAGTATTATTAGATGCGGCTATAAAGTTCCGAGTAGTGCGCGTCGCTGAAGGGATTTTCCGGTCTTGACATAACCAAGGCCTAGAGACATTATCAAATTTTTATCTTTCCCATAATTGAATCCTTCAAAAGCGTGTGTAGCCAGAGAAAAATCTTCTTAATCATAACCGTCCAAGTATTTCACGTAACCTCATTATTACACTCAACGCTAATCCTAAAGAGCACTTAATGCCACTATCGTGGGCCATGTAAACTTGTAAGGTAAACCATTAAATGTCCCAAAGAAATTTTCGCTAAAATCCATTGCGAGCATTCTTGCATGAAAAAGAAAACCTACGACTGTCTCCTTCCCTCCTACACCAACAAAATTTTTCAATACAATAATTTTTATGTTTTTATCAGGAATATTCTTCATATTTGTTCAACAATTAAAAAAAAAGGAAAATAAATAATAATTTTTTTTCTCTGCAAATGCAGTTTTTTTTTTTTTCTTTTTTTTCAATATACAATTAATTTTTTTCATATATATATATTATTTTATTTTCATTTATAGTTTTGGTCATACAACAGTGAAACCAAACAATTGCGTCACGGTTCATCGGACAAGTGTTTGGCTATTACCGAGAAAAGAGATAAACTCGTTATGGAGGAATGCAATGTTTCACATATGCGACAACAATGGCGACTGGAAAATTATGACGCCTCCAAATTATGAGGTTATTTTTACGGGAATGGTACCCAATTTCTGCCATCTCTCCAAACGCCCTCGGCAACTCATTTACTGCTATATCAAAACAATGTCACATAGTTGAAAAATGGCAGAATTTTATAAGAGAGAGAAGACAACTAAAACAATATACAAAAGTGCAATAAATACAAAGTTAAAATTTCTCCCTTGAAAGTTTGATGGCTTTAAAAAAAAAAACAAATATATAAAAAAA